ATTGATTTCATATTTAGTCTCCCATATTCACAAAAAACACATTTGGTCCCTCATGTTCCAATAATTTAACACTTTTGGTCATTTCCGTCAATTTACCGTTAATCCGTTAGTTAAGGCAGTGATGGTTACATGCTTGGTTCCGTTAGTTTTAACGGGAAATTGACGGAAATGACTAAAAGTGTGGAATTTTTGAAACATAAAGCACCAAATGTGCTTTTCGTGAATATGTGGACCAAATATGAAATTAATGCAAATTTAAGGGGTCAAAACTGTAATTTTAGCTTACATATTTCTTTCTAAAACTAAAAGTTTCCTATAACAGGAAACTATGTATAATGTCAGGTCTTCCACCGTTGACTATTGCAAAATTTGAAATCACAATAGTCTAATAATAATCTAGGGTAAATTACAATCACCCCTGAGGTATGGTCAATTTACGAAAAAATCACTCTTGTTTGAATAATTACATCTATCCCTCAACTATAATTTTTTCTTACATCTCCACCGTTATGGTGTTAAATTCAACATAATCATTTAGATCTCGTGTAATGTGCTATAGTTTGTACTCGTTTTATGTAAAATAAAGTTTCTGATGCACCGATGTATACAAGCCAAAAAACACATATTACGATCATCTTAGCTTGCTTCAAAATGTGAAGATTAAATGGGATAAAACGAGTACAAAAGTGAGAATATTCCATATAATCTCGAAGATTCCACTAAATTTGAAACCGCAAGGGTGGTCGTGTAAAAAGATTTATAGTTGAGGGGGGGTTTTGTAATTATCTAAACATGAGGGTTTTTTTTGTAACTTAATCATACCTCAGGGGTGCTTATAATTTACCCTAATAATCTATTAACAATTTATTAACAATTAAATAAATTTAAAACATAGTAAAATTAAATTACAGAAGATTTTTTTTTACCTTATATAGATGATAAAAGTCGTTAGCCACGTCACCGTTGCTTCGATCAGCTATTTTTTCTGTAAATTTGGCATAGCAAATCACTTCAGATTATTTTATCAGGTAAATAAAACTTATAGCTATTTGCTCTAACAGTCCGCAGCTTAGTTAAAATGTTCCAAGAACCCCCTATACTTTTTTTTGCCTATCATTTTTGGACAATTTATCAAATATCATCGTCATTGAGTACTATGGATTAGTGGTTACTTTAATTTGAAGAAAAATAAATATTTGCATTGTGGTCCTTGCGGCAGCTATCCAATATACAAGCAAAACAAAAATGAATTTTCAAGTCTAAAATGTGATACATACAGTCTGTCACCAACAATATTTTTCTTAATAAATCTTATGATTGCTCGAAAAATCTATAAATATATATATATAGGTCACATTTTTAGTGTATGAATAATTAAATACTTAAACCTAATTCAATTATTTTAAATAATATGGCAGACGTACGTATAAAGTTATAATTAGAGTAGCATGAATGAGAGAGAGAGAGAGAGAGAGAGAGAGAGAGAGAGAGAGAGAGAGAAGAAACCTGGAAATTGGTGAGTGAAAGTATCCCAAATACTTGGTCCTTTCCCACCTTCAAATGCAGCACCTTCAAACTGTATAGTGAATAATATTTCCATCATTAAATAAATATTATATACAATATTAAATAATTAATTAGTAATAATAAATAATTATAGAAAAAATAAATAAATAAAATACTTGATAAGCAGAAGAAGCAGCTCCAAAAAGAAAACCAGGTGGAAAATCAGTGCGGTTGAAAGGCTTCGATTCATAGACATGTTTTGCAGCAGCTGCAAATGAAGAACAACTTAGAAACAGGAAAATGGCTACACGTGGAGCTATATTATTTGTAGCTGCCATAGCTGTTTCTGGTGAGAAACTTACATTTTTTGTGCCCTATTTATATAGAAGTAATACGTACATGTTCGGGGGTGGGTGGTTTGGTTTACTTGGGGGTGGGGGTGGGGGTGGGGGTGGTGGTGACAAGATATAATAATTTCAAAATTATGTCGCATTCTTATCAGAAAATTATAATTTTGATGAAACAATTTTTGTTCAAATTTTATATTTGCATATTTTACATTTTCTTTATTTATTTTTAAACCAAATTGTTTTAAACTATAATTAAAAAAAAAAGGGCATTTTTTGCTTGAAGTTTCGACATATACGAGGCTTAGAAAAATACTG